ACTATTCAAATCACTCAAAATATATTTATTTTTCACTGCCAGTTGCTATATTCTAGCCCAAAATAGATTAATCTAGATTGCATTAACTCTGGGTTCCTTCATTCTCTTATAATGAAAAAGTCAGCGATGTTTCTGGATCATGGCTGTACCAGGTCGGTGAACTCTGTTGGTAACTGGCAGGCTTCAGCATACTAACAGGTCCATGTGCTCTGTGATGACACTTCTGAGGTTGATGTGTTGTTCCTTGCACTTTTGTTGCAATTGACATAAAACATGTCTCTGATATCACTGTGTTCCACAAAGTCGTATCACAACCACATTAACATTTGGTGACTTATGCTGCTTGGAAACCCTTCCAGAACAGAGCAAATTAAAATATATACAACTAATAAAATAAGTACATGCTATTATTTATGTAAGAGTTAAGTCAAATAAGCCTGGTTTTGAAAAAGAGATTTGGAGCTGAAGATGAGATTTCATAAAATTTGGTTATACTCTGAATATCTGAGTTTTATCATTTGTAAACCACAGATAACTCTGCTAACCCATGGTGTCATTGCTTTATGTATATGAAGTCACTTATGCAAAGCATTTATAGATTGGCTGTGGTGGGACAACAGATAGTTAATGACATTGTATGTGTTTTTTCTCATTTTAGTTTTTAAATGTTGAAAATTCATTTCTTTCTCCCCATGTATCTGTTGATGTAATCTATATATAATCTATATAATCATATATAATATGTGCATTGGTCAGCTTTGCAATGCTGGGAGAAAATGCCCAACACCCTCAACTTAAAAGTGAAGAGGTTTATTTGCCTCATACGTTCAGAGGTTTAGTTCACAGTCAGCTGGCTCCAAGGCAGAAACATCAGGGCAGAAGGATCTGTGGAACAAAGCTGCTAAGTTGATTGCACCTGGGGAGCAGAGCATAGAAAGAGAGACGTGCCCCTCAAAGGTGTGCTCTCAGGGACCCACCTCCCACCGGGACAGCTTCCTAAGAGCACATCAATTTACCGATGAGCATGGCATCCCATAATCCAGTCATCCCTCTAAGAGTCTCAGTCCAGTTAAACTGAAAATTATGATTAAAAGGCACAGCATATGACTTGTTATGTAGATTATTAAAAATCTCATAAACCAATGGCTGCCTATCTCTTCACTTCTTTCATTCAACACTCCCAGTCACTTATCTTTTCCGGGTGCCACACTGACCCCCTGTTTTTTCATAGACTAAATTCATTCTCCCCTCCAAAATACTCCAGGATTTTGCTTATACTGTTATTTCTTACTTCAGTGCTCACTCACCAAATAATCCCTGTGTAGCTCCCTTCTTATTATTTAGATCTAAATTCAAAGAGTTTTTGACTCTTCAAAAACTCCTGAGCACAGTAACTTCCCTAACTCTTCCTGATTCCCCAGCCACACCATATTCAGTCACTTTGCTTTATTTTCTCCATAACAGTTACTAATATGTGAAATTATCTCATTCACATAGTTACTCCCTTTTAAAATGTCCACCTCTTAAAGTAAAATATAATTTAACATTCGGTGTTGTATTTACAATCCCCAGAAGAATATGAGACATAAAATAATTGATTGTGGAAAGGATCTAAAATGAGTGGAGGAGTGGGGGACCCTTGAAACACTGTAGAATTTCCTCAAAGCTCCTGTTAAAGAAAGAGTTCATCGGCCAGCTATTGGAGCATTTGTGCCCTGTTTTGCATTTATGGGAGAAGATGAGACACAAGTGTTCACTGAAATTTCTTAGCCTACATTGCTGGAAATATGAGATATTCCCCTAAGTGAGTAGCCACCTCTCTATTAGTTGTTATTGCTGGCAATGAGCCTTCCCGATACTTAGTGGTCTAAAACAACAAAAAATTTATTACTACTCAAAATTCTATGGGTTGTCTAGGCTCATGATGTACATTAGATATGAATACAAATGAGGCTTTTATTTTCAAGGATGACGGGCAGCTGATGGTGTTCCAAAAGCTCAAACACATAAGCTTCAGCATAGGTTCCTTTTATTGATCTCCTATTGGCCAAACAAGTCCCATTATAGATCAAGAACAGTGTCTACAAGGATTTGGATATCAGGAAGTATGAATGCATGTGGCAGAAGAAAATATGATCTGTCATACTGGGTTTCTCTTGATCTTTGATATTCTAACATTGGACATAGCTACTCTTGCAATGTAGCATCTCACTGAATATGGGAAGTTAAATTCTTGCTGAAGCACGAGTTTTTATTCCCAAGTTCATGTCTCAATTCCAGGAACAAACAAGCGAACAGTGCTATATTATCTCTGTGCTTTCATTTAAGGAAATTATCAAATATGTTATATTTGCCTTGTTCATAAGTAAAACATAGCATTGATGAAATTGTATCTTTAGTGGAATTGTATTCTTAGAGAGTTAGGGTGTGAGCAAAAAGTAGAAACAAAGTAAATTTAGTGACCTTGTGTTCTCCCCTGGACAAGAATTCAGTCTCTGCTTTCCCATTTATTTCCCATATAATTATAGTAAGTAGGTGGACTGTACATTAAACTTAATACTGTTGCAGTTTGGCAGATTGTCTTTGATCAGTGTGAAGAGTCATGTTCATAATGATTAATGGTATATAGAATATTATGGAAGTGTTTTATCATAATAAGATACCATTCTGTTCAATTCACTGATCAGATTGAATGCTGGTACATGCATGGTATAATGGATAAATACAAAGCCTCTTGCCCAGGATCTTATAGTCCAGCTTCTTTGCTAAAATGGGCAGTGATTCGAGAGAGTGTGGCCACATAGGCAAGATGGACACTCATATCTTGCAATTATTGAAAGGATAACCTTCAAACAGCGTCCCAAATCAACTTTATTATTCCTTGTTAGCAGATTTCAAGGCTTCCTGGCTACTGAAAATTCACCAAAAATAGTTCTCTTATTTCCAAATGCAATTATCTTTCCCATCCTCTTTTATTTGCTGTATTTGATTTGACTCTTCATTTCTGTCTTTGAATAATATTTCATTTCTGTGTCTCTGTGCAAGTGTGTACCCCTGATTTTTATTCCATGTGCTGCACCCTCCACTGACTTGTTTCTTGCATCTCTCAACTAAGTATTGCATACTCAAAGTTTAATCTTTCTTCTTTTCCCCTTGATCTTTACTTTTACTTTCTTGGTATATTCTGCCTGAAAGGCCTCCTATTTATCAAATGCTTATTATTGGTAATTATTGACATCCTTTGGTATGTATGAACAGTTATCACAATCTCACTTGTAGCAACCATCATGAAATTCTGAATTTGTGGGAGTGTAAGGGCCAATTCTTGGCTATCTGGTTTTTTAGAAGAAACACATTTAGAAGACAATTTAAGAGATTAAAATGTTGAAGGTAAATTTTTCACTTAACCAAGTGTTTCTGCAGCCAAAAGCTCTCTAAACTTGTAATTGTCCTGCTTGCCCAAGTATTTCTGTTCATCTCTAAACACTTAGTACATAATGACCTCTCCATATATGTTTTGCAAATGAATGAAGGAATCTCTGAATGCTACCCTCACTAGGGAGCTAACAGTGGCTCTCTTGTTCCTACAGATTCTTTTTATTTTTGTGGCACTGGAGATTGAACCCAAGACCTTCATGCCAAGCTATATTGTCCTCCCTAGTCTATTTATTTATTTATTTGCTTGTTTGTTAATGTATTTATGCATGCATGTATTTATTTAGAAACAGGGTCTCAGTAAGTTGCTAAAATGTCCAGGCTGGATTTGAAATTTGATGAGATCCTCCTACCTCAGCCTCCCAGAATGCTGGGATTATAGATGTGTGCTACCGTGCCCAGCTCTTAGTGATACTTTTATAATACAGTTGCTGTCTCATTATGGTTACTTTTCTCATGAATGGCCTTATGGTCCCTCAAGTCGACTGCCTGGTCTCCTTCCTGCTCTTTATGCTTCAGATTCCCATTCTACACTGACAATTTTACAGATGGTTATGCCTCATGAAACAGCCTTTTTCTTTCTGTTAATCCTTATAAGGATAAAAATAAAAACAACTACTCACCTTTGTGGAGTGTTTCCCATTTGCCATGTAATGTGCTAAGAACCTCTGGGCCTTGGCTCTTGTAATCTCCAAGCAACTTTATGAAATAGGAATTTTATTTTTCTGCTTTGTTGATCAGAAAATTGAGACAAAAGAGTTTTTATTACTAGTTCAAGGTAACCCGTCATGGATGTAACAGAGTCAATGTGAGCCTGAGTAGAAGAATCTCAAAGCCCTTTATCCTTCACTGTGCTACCAGCTTTCAAAGATCAACCCAAAGCCCACCTTCCCTTTAGGCTTTAATCCAACTGGAGTAGTTTCTCTTGCATCTTCTTTCCTAGCACAAGCAGGCTCTATGTATCATGTAGCCTATAAATAATTGCCCACTTCCTGGGCTATCAATACAATTACATCAGAGTCAAGTCTGAATTCCCACAATATTCATTGTGAACAAAAATATGCAAGTCAAAGAATCACATCTAATTTGTGCACAGTGTAATTAGAACAAAATCTATCTATTGATCTATCATCTATTGATTGAGTGGTACTCTGTAGAGTTTGAACAGAATGTACTTATTGACTCTCAATCCTGCTACTCAAGATTAAGAATGCAAGGAAGGTAATGTAACGTAGAAAGAGCCCGCTTGTCATTGGCTCCTAATCTAGACGATTTTCCCACAAGAGTGTCCATTGTTACTGCGACATACCATCATGACATTCAGTGTTACGCTCTCCTGTCAATACTATGCAGTGAACTATAACATTAAAATGTTGTGTAAATTCTGTCTCTCCATTTCCTCCCTCATTCTATCACTTGGTTGACTGACCTTGAGATTTATGAAATGTTTGCATGTAATTTTCCCAGACAGGGCTCCTTGGGTTGACCTCTTATTTGCTTTTGGATGCTTTTCTGGAAATGATCCCCAACACTAACCTCCTTCTGCATATGTCCTTCATTCCCAGATGTTCATCGGAAAGCAGATCGAATGTTTCCTCATGCTCAGGAACTGCTGAAGCAGCAGGACCAGCTCACATGAAAATCAGACATCCAACAGATGTCTTTAAAGAGTTTAGGTAGGAGATATTGATATTCTTTGTATTATTGTTATTATTCTGGGAATCTATCTCCCAAATGATATTGGAAGCCCTTTGAAAATAGGGGGCAAACACTTCATTTATTTTCCTGTACTTTTGGTGCCTGGCGTATTTAGTAAATGTGCAATGGCATAAAAATGTTAATAAAAGTACATGGATTGGTCAGTACAAAACAATTATTCTATTAGACTCACAGATAATTTTTTTACAAAAGAAAAGAAAAGCAAAAACCAAAAGAAAGAAGCTATAAGAATATTTGGCCTCATTGAGGTTGAATACATTGATCAGACAATGTTTGAATTTTCTTTTTTTGGACGTTTTGGAACATAAGAAACCTATTTTCTGCATTAAATAAATAAAAATTTTATGATTAGCCTAAAATATTGTCAAAATTATATTTAAATAACATTACAAAATATATCATTAAAATAATTTTGAAATATTATTTAGACAATATGAAATGACCAAAAACATTTTTTAGCTCAAGCAGGTTCCTTTTTATCCCTAAACTTTTCCTAGTGCAAGTGGTGAAACATAATGTTGAAGAAAATGGGTTTCTGCAATCAGAAGTTTGTTTAAACCAGGCTCATTCCCTCAATAACAATAAACCTGTCTAGAGGATTTTCCTATGTCTCTATTTGAAGAAGAAACTCTATCTGAAGAAGAAACATAGAGATAACAATGTCCACTTGGTATGCTGTTGTAAAAATGAGACAATGTATATAAAGCATTTATCTCAATCTCTGGAAAACTTGCATTTACTCCTTTCCTTTTTTCTTCACAGACGCATAAAGAGTCTTTCCTTTGAACTAAATAATCTTTACTAGCCATGCAGTGGTTCCTTTGCCTTCCAAGTTAGTTTTCTGTTAACATGTCTACCATCTTAGTGTAGTGTTCTGGCTGTCACTTTAGAAGCAATTAGAGAAATGGAAAAATGTAAATAACATTCTCACTTTCAAGAAAGTTGCAATCTGCTTCATAGTGATAAAATTGACACAGACAAGGGACAAATCATGCTGTGTATCTATAGTAGTAATTCTGTATTGTGAAGTAATTATGTTCACTAATGTTATTTTGTGTCATCATCTTGGAAAACAAATTGTTGGACTACGATGAAGGCTGGTGGTATAAATACTTCTCTGATAAAGCTAAGGAAGTATATAAGAGTATATAGAGTATATAGGTATATCCACATTTTTTTCCAGCAAGTAACTATTGAGTCTTTCTAGGAGTGTCCCAGAAGGACCCCTCTTTCACATTACACGTTACACGTATTTTAGAACCCTGCCTTTTTTCTCCATTTATCATAGCTTCTGAAAAATAGTGAAGCGTTTTATAGAAGTAAACTATTGTGCATCACTCCACTTTGATGTCACTATCTCTAGAAAGGCTTCTCAAACAGCCACCCCCATATTGTTTTGAAGATGTGGGCTGGGTGTTTCACGTGTAATTGCCCATAGTGCTCTATGGTAAATGCTTTTATATCTTCTCACTCTATACTTCTGAGTATGTGTGCTCTTGCATTCCCCGATAATTCAAAGTGACAGTGACACCAAAGTCTTGTCTCTGTATGTTTTAAAGAAATGACACCTTTCTTCCTTTCCTAAACCATAGTTGAGCATTTTCAGGCTATTATTAGGAATCTCTTTTTTGCTTAATTAACCTTTGGTCTTGTCAATTGTTCAAGATGAAAAAGTACACTTTTTTTTTAATAGTTGTACCTGACAAACCTTGTACCATCCTCATGTTAACAACTGAGTCATTTTAAGTTTATCCTTATATTGCTTTCGATGATATCATTCTCACTTATACATTTCTTTGGTGATAGAGTAAAAAATGAGCAGTTTTTGAATAGTCTTTAAAGTCAGTAAATGCCGATCTCTTTGAAACAAGGGGAGAACAAATCACTTCACATAGACATTTTGTCACTCAAGAACTCCAGCCCTGTCTTTTAAATCCCAGTGACAAGCTTTTTAGAACAAAAAGAAAACTGACTTGTTTTCTCTGGGTTTTGGCTAAGACTTTAGCCCTTGCTTTGTTTTATTGTAATCGAATCCGTCGGCATGAAAGTTGAAGTAAAATCCAAGAAGTATATGCTGGGATTTTTATTGGCATATCAAACAGAGAATCATTCAGGCCATACATTAGCAAGCAGCCAAGTAATTAATAATAACACACGTGGAAGAAAATGAATGTTTTGGTTGAGATGGAGAATAAGAAGTCAGACAAAGGCTTGGGATTCGTGTCCTTGCCCTGAGCAGCAGCAAAAATAATGTTATGAATAGCATTTAACTTGAATTTGCAGCAAACTGCTGCTTTTATCATAAACAATTGCCAGATGGTATACATTATCTTTCTTTTTTCTCCTTTCACAAAAGCGGCATTAATTGCAGAGCAGCCCAGGGCTCCACTCAGCTCATCAGTGTGATAACACTTCATGACCCTGATTAGCCGTCAGTCTACTCAATTAAAAAGATCATTTAGACATTCACCCAATCATTTGCCTATCGAGCCACCTGGGCCTCAACCAGGGGCTCCATTTTTAACATTCTCCTGCCCTCTCTCATCTTGCCTAGCTTTTTTACATATCTCCAAAAGACGTAATTGAATTAAATAAAGCGTCTCAGGGGCAGCTGCAACATCTGCTGTTTGTGGTATGTCAAGCCTTCAGCATTAAAAACAGTTACATATGCTCCAAATTAGCAGGTCGCAGAGATGAAACAGTCGATGATAGTGTTTTTGTGCCAGCGTGAGAAGCAGCTCACAGCTGTGTGCAATTTACAATTAAAGGCTTTATCAGAGCTCAATTGTACTAGTGAATCAAGTGGTGAGAGGTCAGTTAGTGAATTAGACCAATTAGAGCTTGTACAGTTAAATTATCTGTCTTATTACCTAGTGATAAACAGCCTTGTCATATCTTTACTGGAATGATGAAGCTGAATGAGTTTTATGAAGTGATGATACAAGTTCACTGTAGTGGAACTTAGTGGTTTGTGAACTCAAAATCTATAGCAAGCAAATGAATTTAACCTTTTAAAAATAGTTGTGTAACAGGAATCTTGAAATTGGTTAAAACTCTTGAGATTACATTGGTTATATCTACTTTTGAATGGATCTCCATTTCTGAGATTTTAAAAAAAAGTACTTTGCAACAGAATGATATAGGGTTCCCGAAGTTTTATTTTTAATGTTGATTTTTAAATATTAAGCATTAACTTCATTAAAAATAAAGAATAGAGCCAAACTATGTCAAAAAATCATGCTCTGCAAAACAGCCCAGGAAAGACATATATTTTTATGGTTATAGAAATTAATTTCTTTTGGAAATGCAAAAATCATCAGTTGTTCTCATAATCATAAAAATGATGCATTTTCATTGTTTGCATATCCTTTTTATGACACGCCACACCCATTTTATGCTTCTATACATATAATGTAAAGATGAAAATCAATAACTAAAAGACTATGTTCAATGTTGTATGATAAAACCATTGGTGAATTATTTCTATTGTAACTTTCCACTAAATGAATGCTCATCTTTGATCTTCTTAGACAATCTTGTGATTAGCAAGTTACAGAAGGTATTTCTTAGTACAGGTGTCATTGACTAGGCATATTACTGACATCCATCAAGCTGACAGAATTATATCATTATATCTGAAAAAATTATATCATTCTAGACTCACTCTTAGATCTATAGTCAGATATTAGTCTAGAGAATGTATCTTACATAGCATGTATTTATGGCTTGTACCTTATTTTCTCCTAGTGTAAGAATTCATAATTTAATATTGAAAAAAACCTCACAAAACAGAGTTCAAATTCTTTCTTTAACATAACTTTTAAATCCTTGGATTTATTTTATTAATTTAAATTTAGTTCTATGAAATATATAGAAACAATTATGTTCCTCAAAAAGTAAGACTTTGCTTTGCTTTGTAATAAGTTTCTGTTTGAAAACAAAATTAACTAAATTCAATATTATGAATCACGGTATTTATGCTCAATAATATTTGTGTTACAGAAAAGTAACTTTATTTTAAAAAATACTCCAAAGTTATTTAAAAATGAATAACCAGTACCTGCTTACTTATAACATACATTTCCAGAGATGCATGATTGTTTAA